CAAAAATTCGGCTGTAATGAAAAAATCCTTATTAAAACTAAAGAATGTTTAGTTGTAATAAGGATTTCAATACAAGGCACGTATTGAAATGTTAGGAAAGCGCTAGAATGATTGTATTCTTTTTGAAGAAGTCTGCGATGTTAAATTAAATCGAAATCAAATTTTGCAAAAAACTTGATGTTTTATTGCTTATCATACAATTTAAAATGTATAATAATTTTAAAATAATTTAAAGCAACTTTAAAATTTAACCCTTTTTAAAAATTATATAGCCCTTTTATATGAAAATACCGTAATATAAATATCATGCCGATCGATTCAAAGATTTTAAAGATCATTTGGTATGAACAGAAATTAACTTACTTTTTATATATATAGATAGAGATCTTTCTTATAAAAATTATAAACAATTCCATGCTCTCTCTTTCAATTGGAATCACTCCGTTTCATAATTTCTTATTATTGAAAAGAAGGGATAGTGCACTGCGACCTAAAAGATCTATTGTGCCCCTTAGTTGGATTAGAGTGTTTCTCCAAGTCCGATTTCTTTAATAAAAAACAGTATAGAGCCTATCTTTTCTATTCTTATGATACATGAAATGCTCTCTCTTTCAATTGGAATCACTCCGTTTCATAATTTCTTATTATTGAAAAGAAGGGATTGTGCACTGCGACCTAAAAGATCTATTGTGCCCCTTATTTGGATTAGAGTGTTTCTTCAAGTCCGATTTCTTTAATAAAAGACAGTACAGAGCCTATCTTTTCTGCTCTTGGATCCTTATGATACATGAAATACCCTCCAAGGTGTTTCTTCCGCTTCTGTTTCACAATTCCGTTGCTCAGTCTCAGATATAGCAACGTGCTAGATAAAATCTCCTCTTAAATAGTCTTAAATATTTAGAAACACCCATCACTATCCATAATAAATGTATACTAAGTTTTTACTCCTAACTTAGATAAATTTTAAAATTCAAATAATAAACTTCTTATTTTTTTTAATCCAACTATTATTGAAAAGTAATTTTAGAAGAAAGTCTTTCACAGTTTAATAGCTGTGCTCTTCTCAACTCGTTCTTAAGAGGCAGTTTTAGTGCGTTCAAGTCCCACACTCTGCCTTTCGATACTTTTCACGACCCACAAAAAACCAAAAATATGCATTTAGTATTAAATTGGAACGGAATTGACAAAACATTCAAACAACTTATATTCCCACATTCCTACATTCTTTCAAGCATAAGTACTAAGAGTACTTATGTTGTTTATAATAGCATTTATATATAATATGTACAGTCACTACTTAATGTTTCTATAAGCTCTTTCATGTATTCATATATTGCAAAAAATGAAGGTAAACTACTTTGCTTCTGGTTTTACTGCCTTAACTTGGTTGATTTGAGAAAACTTAAACTTGATTGAATTATGTTAGTGCACCTAAATCGTATTTGCCGCTAAAAGCTATTGTGTTACTTTTGCAGATATCGTTTATCTGTAACTACGACACCGTGCAATAATTCCCACGTTTAGGAATTTGCAATTATTAGTTAATTATTTAAGATTGAAAATTATTATGAATTTTAATGACCAGCACTATACACTTTAATCGATTAATACTCGCAATATGTAACTCGCCACAAACTATCAGATCTACTACTCGTCATTAAAGCTACTCGTCAAGAAAGGTCAGCAAAATCTTCAAACGACAACACGATTTAATTGCTTTGTTCAACAGATAATCGAGTTCAATTAAGCAAATGCAACAACAAAAACAACACACAATCTGTCAAAGTTGTTAAGTGTGGCTTACTAGTTAATCACACTGACAAGTGCGGTTTTTAAGACAAAAGGCCGGCATAGTCGCACCAACACAAATAAATGCATCCAAAGAAATATAAACAAATACAAGTGCAATATAATTTTGCATACAAAAGCACACAAATGAAGGCAAACAGTAAATATTCGTATAATCGCTGATCACATGTACACATATGTGTATGTGTACATACACAAAAACAATCACCTGGAAATACTCTCACTAAGCAAATACTCGTAAATAACAACAACAACAACAGCAACAAAAGGAAAAACCAAAACCAAAAACAAAAAAATGAAAAACTAAATCGAAACAACTACATTTGCATTGTAAACATAAAAACACGCTTTAATGCGCCCATAAAGCCCACAAACCTAGTATAAGTAAAGTTCAAACAAAACAAAAACTAAAAAAGCGGAAGTGTTGATAAAAAGAACCGGAAGTGCCGTACTATGAAATGAAGAATAGTAAAAAATGAATGTTCGCTCGTTTGTAAAGTGAAGTGGTATAAGTTAATGCTAATTGCTGGGCTGCCTGGCTAACTGGCTAGCACAGTTGTGAAATATGAACAATCAATGAGCATTGAATTGGCGTTAAGAGTTGGGAAGGATGGGAGAATGGCTGAATGGTGTGAGCGGTGTAAGAGGTGTGAGTAATATAATTGAAAAAGAACTTTCAGTTTTGACAATAATGAATGGTTTTGTGGGTACTGTTTCGAAACTTTAAGGAAAAATGAACAAATTGATTTATTTAACTTTCAAAATACAATGGAATCAGTAAACAAAAGTTTTTTAGCAACAAAAAAAAAATATTTCAAATTGATGTTAAAAGTCTGGAATGTGATCTGGTCTGGCCTGGTCTTCTTAAAACAATTAAAATTTAGAAAGTTAACATGACTAAATTAAGTTAATCAAGAGCTTTTAAGAATATCTAGAAGTTATATCTTCATAGCGAAATTATACAAAACACCATTTACAAGAGATACCACCTCTTTATCTTATAAAAAAAAAAAGCAAAACAAAAATATGCTACAGGACACCAAATCTGTTAAATAAAAATATGATTATATAATGTTCCACCAGATTTCTATGCTAATGTTACATAGTATGCATGTTGCAAGCCCTTTCTAAAAACAACCGTCTTGTAATAAATTTTCAACATCCATATAGGAGTGGTTAATAATACAAATGGACCAATAAGCTACTATAATATTAAACTTTTACTTGTGACTTCAAATAAACTGATTGGCTTTATATCGTATTATAGATTTATAGTAAGTGAGAATTATAATTCCTCTAAGATAAATAATAAAAAAATATGACATGTTGACATAATTATAATTATATTATTATAATTATAGTATAAATATTATTAAATTATTATAATTATAGTGCAAATATTGTTATGAATTTAGAATTTAGAAGTAATATTAGAAATAGTTTTCTAAGACAGACAGACAACTTAATAGTTATTGTCTTAAATAATTTATACACACTATTTAAGTTAAATATTAAAATTGCTAATATATTATATATTAATAATTGTAAATAAAAGAAACCACTACTACTATTATTCAATAATTAATTTTACTTTTCTTTACATAATTAAAATTTCATTGCTTAATAATTTTCTAAGAATGACAGTTTGGAAATAAATTTTGTGGTCAATTATTATTAGATGAAATTGTGTATTGGCGATTTCTAAAATTTAAACCAATAAAAAACAGTTATAAACTAAAGTCAACTATTTGTAATAAATATATAATTGTTATAATTATTAGATAATTATTATAAAATTTTTATAAATATAATATAATTACAAAATCTATGTTTCTTATATCTAACAGTATAAAATAAAACTAAAGAAACAATTACTTCTAAATAAATGAGTTGTTTAAGAATATTATATTCTTTAAGAATATGTAATACTATTATCTTTTGCATAGATTATATGCAAGAACAACATGAGAATATATTTCAAAGTTTGCAGGAATATTAATAAAAATATTTGAAGAATATTTCTAATGTAAAAAATGACATTAATTTTTTTTAAAACATTGTCATTGTAGAAAATATATATTCACCATTATTGTTATCATAATTATGGCATCTAAATTCGAGTTTAATCATTTCTTTCTTTACTAAAAGCATCTCTATTTCACTATTTTCAATCAGATTTCTTTGATCTCTGGCTCGTAAAGTCCTAAAATTCATTTTTTATACGTCAAACTGATGGCTATACTTTTAAATTCATAAAGCATTTTTTCTTTTTTTGCACTGTATTAAAAAAAACCAATATCAGACTTGAGATGCGACAAACAAAAACTATTGCCAAACTAATGCTACGAAGAACGCAAATTTCATGTATGTTGGACCATACAGTTGGCAGCCATGCACCAACAAAATCGGCAGATAAGTGAGGAAAAAAGAAAGAAGGCAGCTCCTCAGACGAAAGAAACGACATCAAAAGAGGCACGAATGATAGGCAGGTACTAATATAGACTCACTAGGCAATTAAGATGTAAAGCTCTCTCTCTCACTCCAGACAAAACTTACGATTTATAGGTCGCCAATTCTACCTGTGTTTTTGTATGGTGGAAAAGCATGGGCGCTATAGTAGAATGCAGTTTTCAATAGATACTTTGTAATATCTTTGTTCCTCTAGAAGAGTGCAACAACCATCACATCCAAGTAAGCAACGAGCCATAAGAGCTTTATCACGATATTGATATAATTGAACAAATTAACAGCTATCGGTTTCGTTGGGAATTTATGCCGTGAGAATAGATAACGATGCTGCTGCAAAGAAGATAGAGGTAAGACCATGTTACCACTGAATTGATCAAGTTAATGGAGCACTAACCACACTTGATATAAAAAAATTGGAAAAGGCGTACACTAAGCAGAGATGCATGAGAGAAATTGATAACGAGTTGCTATAGCCATTTATGTAAATAATACATTAACTTATATTTAGTGATTATATAATTCTTAGGCCATTTTTCTGTTCCTTGATTTTTCATTACAACGTTTAAGGAAAACAAATTTCAGAATTTTACATTATGTGCTGAAACATATAAGCCTACATTTAATTTTTTTATCATAAAAGTGCGATATTACTTTGAGTTCAATTGATCATTGGGTCTTGATTATTGTATACATATATATTATTTTAGAATAAATGCACTCACCCAATCGACTGTCATTTTTCTTTCTCACACGTAGGCAAATAGTACACGATTTTATACACTGAAAATATAAATTTATTATTTTTTATATTAATATTCATTTTATATTATTATTAAAAAAAAAAAATTTGAAAAAAAATTATTTAAAAGTTATTAATTAAAAGTTTTATAGTAGTAATTTTTGAATTAATAATAATAAAGATAATAATAATTTTCTACATTAAATAATATTTATTATAATATTTAAATAAATAATATAAATAATAATTATTCAACCCTTGGTACTTGCAGACTCCAAAAATTATTTAGGAATGATTAAATACAAGAAATAATTCTAAGACCACTGGTAATGTATATTTGGCAGTACTCGAAACAGCTGTACGGACAGTCAAAAATGCAATTAATTGAAATAATATAAAAATAATTTTTGTTGTTGTAGTTCAATAATTTTTCAAACCTCTCAAATAAATATAAATAATATATCTATGTTAAGCACAATCCAAAACAGATAATAATCATTATCATTTAGATATTTAAAGTACTTATTGTAGTAGTATTTATTAGTATTTACAACGATTGTATAAAAAAAATACATTAACCTTATAAATTCCATTTAAATCAATATATTTTATAAAAAAATATAACATATTAAATGAATTTTTAATAAATCAATTAATTAAATTACTAATTATAACAGTAGTAGTAAATATTTTCTTAAAATTCCAACTTACATCATGTATGTGCCGTATGAGTTCTGTGCGCGTTATATTTTCAACTGACAATCCATTAACCTCGAGTATCTCATCGCCCACTTCCAAATTATCTCTATCAGGTGGTGAGCCGTATAACTTAATTTTACCTTCGACATTTTCGACTAAAATTATAACGTAACCTGATAATTCCACGACTTGTTGCTGTAAGGAATATAAAACAGAAAAGTTAAGTAATTAGTATGACATCATTCATGAAATAACAAAACAAATATAACACTTATAATGTAACACAAAATCACATAATATGTACATATATGTATGTAATACTTAAATGCAATCATTTTAAACAATGTTATACTTGAAGTAATCTGGTCGTATGAGTAACATTTTATGACCGCAAAATGTTATTTACTTAAACTCCTTAATGTCATCCATATATAAAATTTACAAATTAGGCCTATTAAGTTTATACATATTAACATACTTTTAAATACATATGTATATATATATATGTTTATTTTATATTTATATATATGTATATATATATACTTATAATATATGTACCTACTATAAGTATTGTACGTGTATATACAAAGGCATTCGCTCAAACTTAATTATTATCCTAATTACAACAAATTACTGTCATGTCCTTTGCCGTTATCCTGTTTACTTTTGTCACTCCAAATAAAAAGCATCTAATGTAAAAACAAAAAAAAATAAAAAATAAAAAAATAAAATAAATAAATAAATTTCATCTCGTGGTGCTGCTTTAATATAAAACAGCACTGCTCCAAATTATTGTCGACAAGAAGTGGCATTTGGGTGCACATTTATTGCCATTACAGCCCGTCTAATTACAATACTTAGGTTTTGAGCTCTCCACTGAATGCCTCACTCACTCTATATTCTGTGCACAGAATGGGTACGCGCTGTGCTCCGCTCCTGTCATACTCAACCAACAAATTAGGTAACTCATTTGTATATTAAAATATTCGGGAAGTAAACAATATAACACAAATACACACAACCACACAACTACTCAACTACACAAAAACACAATTACACAACACTAACCACAAAAGTACCAAAAATGAGTTATTTTCATTATTTAGTGCAGGAAATGGGCACAAATTCAGAAATTGCTCGTGTGGAATCATAAAAATTAAAGAAGATTTTATATAGACAAAACATTAATAGTTAAAGTTGCTTAGGAAGATACATAATTATAGACTGTATTATATAGTATATTTAAATCCCAAAACATATTTATAACGTTAATAATTTTGCGGGCATCTCAAGAACATTAAAATCAATATAAAGGGATAATTACATTTATTAGATGACTCTACTTTTCAGTACTAATAAGTTCTTAAAAATTTAAATTGAAGTGAATAAAGGATATTATTAGTTCAAGATAAAATTTATACAGATTAGAAAATAAAGATAATTAATATGATTTCTTAACAAGAAGATTAATTCATCATTTTATACAATCGGCCGCTTTTTATATTTTTGAGGTTTGTCATGTCTAATTAAATTACGAGGGAACAGCTTTAACCTTCATGCACTATGTAAATATAGTTAAAGTTTCCTAAACTTTAACAAATTTCTAAACAGATTCAACAAAAATAAGTCTTATTTATAGAAATCAAGCAGGATATAAACCTTTTATATATTCTTTTATATATACCATATATATATCCAAATATATATTAATTTATATGTCTTCAATTATTACTTTTCATAACGTAATTACAATAAACTCACGATTTAACAAATAGCCATTATAACAAACTCCTTTGATAACGAACGATTAAAAGCATGTATATAATAAAAATACTAAAAATATTCTCTCTAGATAATTAATGTGCCATTAAATATCTCGATTCACATGACTTAAACATGTTCACCTGAAAAGAATTAGCTGTGCCAAAATTCTTCATTACCTCCAACTGCTATTTAGAAATGAAAATCTCAATGCTAAGAACAGGAAACTGGTATATAACCAAATAATTCATCCGTCACTTCTATATGGTTGTGTAGCGTTTAGCAAAGCTTCAAACACTACTATTCACCAGCTAGAAATTGCACAAAGCCAGGCTCTGAGAAGACTTTTCAAAGTTCCATGGTACATTAGGATAAATGACATCCTCAAGGACCTCAAGATTAATCCCATCAAAAAATACATAAAGGATAGAGCCCTGAAATTATTTGCGAAATCTGACAGACTTACCAACACCGCGTTATCAAATCTCAGAATAGATACAAGCTCCTCGAGGAAGTATGCAGATCTGAGGTCAATTATTGCTTAGTCTGATGAAGTGATAAACAATAATCTAGTCAAGGCGCAAATAGGGGTTTTGAAGAAACCTCGCAGTTAATAGAAAGTAAAAATGCTCAAAAGCACTGACTCAAATAATAATAAAATGCTTTCTAACATTATGTCATTTCAATAGAATATAATTATAAAAGTTATATAAAAATATATATAAAAGTTATATAACTCCGTAATGAAGAAGAACAATGTCAGCCTGGAAATCTGACGAAGAATCCCTATTGCCAGGAAGTGTTACTATTAACCCAGTTAGGCAATTGGGATGTTAAGCACTCTCTCGACAAACAAACGTTAGGTTACTTATCCTACCTGTGCTCTTATACGGCGTAAATGCATAAATGTTAGCACAGAATAATTAAGCAGTACTGGTAGATTTGCAGAGACAAGTACTTCATAATAAGTTTGATTCTTGCTATCGCAGAATGATGAAAAAGCGCTGACAGTTTTCGAGAAAAGTACTTCGTTAGGTATTTGGTTCTCTGTAATTTGGGGACGAACTGTCCAAGTGAACCACAAACTATACGAGCATTATCGAGATATTGATATAATTAACATTCAGCGACTTCGTTCACTGGGTCATGAGAGAATGTGTGATAATGATCACGCGAAAAAAGTGTTAAGAGCACCACTTAGAAGAAGAAGACATGGAAATAACCCGTGTCTCCGGTGGAGTGATCAAGTTAGGGGAACATCAGCCCGAGTGAAAGAACGAGACTGCAGAAGGCACTATGTAGTGGAGACGCCTGAAGAGCAGTGTTGGATCAGGTCAAAACACGATAACGGGTTGTTATGGCCAAAGAAATATTTAAGAAATACATATGTGTATTAAGGAAGTATGACATATCAAAAATTTGTATACCAAAATATAAAATATAAAACAAAATCCATAAATATATATACACCATTGTGTAGTCCTCTTATATTTGTGATTTAGTTTCTTTAAAAATTTGAAGGAAAAATGATGGTATGAAATGAGAAAGGAACAGATATTACTTTATAATGAAGAAGTGGTCGATTAAACGTAATTGAAGAGAAAAGCGATTCAGAAGAGATATTAAGACGCAGATCCCCTCTCTAAGCAATGTACCATAACAAATAATACGAAAATTATGTGAACAGCAACAATATGGACAAAAAAATATTATCTAACATACGTCCACTTCTCTCCATCAGTATAATCACCGCAACACCACTGCCTTTTTATATATGGTTAATAGCTAAGTGTAGGTATATTTAAATTAATAATTATTTTCTACAACAATTCTGAAATATGTAATTGGTTGTTTCATAGTTAACTAGAAACATAAACTATATGATCTTAAACTTAGTTCTTTAGATTTACATATACCTATCTTAATATAAAAAAGTTAAGCCAAACACTAAAAATTGATGTGTTCACACATATGCATACGTAGGTAGGAGGGGGACTTGAGAGTCTGAAGTTTCTTCCGAAATGAAACGAACAACTATATATATTTAAGTACATATATTATTAAAGTATCATGATATAAATAAAGTATGATTAGAATTTTTTTAAACCACTGAAATTATCTAATAAAAAACGGATTTAATTTATGGCCACGGATCTACTCGCATTAAAAGGTCTATAAAAAATAGCCTAAATTTGATATTGCTAATATTTCAAATACTTTTTTAATATTTTATTATTTTCCTTCTAATACTTATGATTTTATTTGCATGCACAGCTTTTTTTTGTTCTACTTTTTAGTGCTGTTAGCTGGCACTTTGGTTTTTGTTTCTTTATTTATGCACATATACTATTACTATTATCAAAATTGCACTTAAATAAACAAATATGCAGGAATATGTGTCATTTTTCTTACAAAAACCATGCAAAATTCATTTCAAATATAATAAAAGTGTTCAGTAATGATAAGTGTAAACAAGTATAAGCCATGACTATTTAAGTAATTAATGGAGAGTAAGTAAGTAATAAGTAAGTAAGTAAGTAATTAATTAAGTAATTAATTTAAGTGTTTTTTTAAAACTATATTTTTTAAAAATATGTATTGTTTACACCTTTCTTTAATTGAAATTCTGTCTATGTCACCGCGTTACTTACAAACAATTATCTTCAATCAACATTATTTAAAAATGTATTTAAATAAATTATTAAAAGTTAATCAAAATTTTTATTTGCAATTATTCAAGCATTTATTTTACTTGACGCAGTTGATGAGCCCTAAAGTGACATTTAAATTTATTCACTAAACTGACAAAATATGTTAACAATATGACCTGAAGTACCTTCTGTGTTTAAGTGCCTTCACCAACAATACAAATTAAAATAAGAAAAAAGCAACAAAACAATGGCAGAAAAGGAACGAAAGCACTTTATAACCATTTAGACTTTTTAAGCGGAGAGTTGAAATGAAAACGAAAAAAAAACCCATTGCAAAAGTAAAAATTTTTAAAAATAAACAAAAAATCAACATCACAGAGTTGCCACATGTAATTTGTTAGACTTGCTTAAAACGGAAAGAAACAGAAAAGCAGAAACGCAGAAACACAGAAAGGGCAACACCGAAAATGGAACTGGAAACGTTAAGCTTTGTACAAATTTAGGTGAATACCTTTTTTGAGCGAGTGGCAGTGGATCTTTAACGAATGCCGCAATTAAATTTAGGGAAATACGTTTAAAACTTTTGAAGGACAATTGACAAGCGTCAGGGCACTGATTTTTTTTTTTTGTGCTTTCACATGAGAAGGAAAATCTCCAGTAAAATAAACAAAAAATAAATTAAACAAAATATTTTACTGAACCCAACTAAAATAAACGCAAATATTAACGTGAAAGTACAGAAAAAGGGTGTAGAGCACGTACGTGAACACGTGTATAAAAAGTGCTAGAACAAAGCATCTTTCAAAAAAAACACAAATTAGCAACTTTGAATAAAAACTAGACTAAAACTATAAAAACAACAACAACAACAACAACAATAGCATTTAACTTATACAACAGATTTAACAAAGTTAACAATTGCAGTGTATGAAGTTGCCAGATGTAGAATTGCTCGAGGTGGCATTGTTAGAGGCTGTAGCAACTTTTTGCTTAGTCTCTTGATATGTGTATTGAAGTATTGCTGTGCATTTTATTTATGTTGGCAATTTGCCAACAACAATTCAATTGCCACATTGCCAGCGACAAAATAACTTTGTGCTGGTTTGTCCATTCATTTGGATTAAGCTGCACACCTTATATGAATGGAAATGGCTGAAGTGTGCACGCCAAAGTTCATTGGTAATTGTGGTGTAGTCCTGCTTAGATACGTTTTTACTGTTTGTAAGCAAATGTGTTAGAATACAAATGAAAACCATTTCAGGAATGATACCTGAACTCCAAAATATAGCAAAAAATAACCTTTAAGATATTTTAAACTGTTTTTCTTTGCCAAATAAAAACATTTTGGAATTCTTTGGCATAAGGTTCGTTCGAATATAAGATTGAGTGGTTAAAATACTAATGACATAAAGAGCATTAGATTTAGTTATTCTCAAAAAAATAAACAACAGTCATAAAATCTTCAATATTAAGCATAAAAGCTAGTTATATTGTCTATTGGGTGCCAACGTATATTCGTATACACGCTATTTAAAAAGTATCGGAAGTTTGCTATTCATATATTGCAGATGTGAAATGCACACTTTTGAAAAAGTGCTAGAGAAAATTCCAACCTGGATAACTTCATTGGTTTTGAAGTCATAAATTGTTAACGTTGATCACACTTACAAAAATAGATCAAGTAGCGGCAAGTAATGAATGCCTCCAAGCAGAGTCGACATTCTGTTCCCAGAGACAAACCAGTTTTGTTAAGATGCTAATGCAATGCATGTTGACCCGTTTTGAAATGGAGAAAAGTGGTACCGTTTTTAAATTCTCGAGCAGATAACTGCCAACCCTTAAGCCTGATTATTACCAGGATTGTTAATGACAATATTAATGACTTATTGCACCAAAAAAACTTTTTTATCCGAATTTGATTATGTATCAATTTATTCCATAATAAGAATCCGTTCTACAGATTAGGTGATTGAATCAATTATCGTAACATTATCTACTGACTGTGTAATTGGAACCAGCAAAGCATGTTTTTCTTGCCAATTACTACTTCTACCGACTTACCGACGACTTCAGTCAGTTCAGAGGAGCAATGAAAATCTGTTAAACTCACATTTTCAGAGTGATTCTTAATACCCTCTTTTTCCTATTTTTACTACTTATTCATTTATTTGACTATAACAACCCGTAAGTGGATTTATACCTGACGCCACTCCCATTCTTAGTATTCTAATTAGGAAAGAAGCTTGATCAAATGTCCTAAAACTGAAAGACAGTTCCAATCTCGAAAATGAAACTAATATGCAACATATAAAAGTCAGTAGACTTTTTTCATAGTCTTATTCTACGAAAAAAATGGTACATTATTCAAAAAGTTAGGCTTTTCTAAAATTTTTTGATCATTATCAGCGACTTAAGAAAACAAATTAAATTATTTAAAAACCTGGCTCTCCAAAAAAATTTAGAATAGAAAATATTAAAATAATAGTTAGAGTAAATTTCCCATGATAAAAAGAATTAATCCTCTCCAATGTATATCTAAAAATTTTTCAAAGAAAAATATATGCCATCGAAGCATGTATAAGGGAACTGCTAAGAATTAAAAAGTCAGGTAGCAATAAGGAACCTTAAAAAAGTAAATATTATCTTGAAAATTATAGTTGATTGCATAAATTCTCTATATATATTAGGGAATATCAATACTATAATATTAGCAGTGTCCTATGAATTCAGGTATTCACACGAAAAGGCTGATTATCTAGCCAAAAGAGGTGCAAACTTGTTACCAGAGCTGCCGTCTGTGCACTCACAATGAGTCGCTCAAACGAATTGGAAGATGGTAGAAAAAAAATGGTGACCATTGCCTTGAAAATCTAGACCATGTTCAAACAACACAATTTCTTATCTTAGCAAAAGGAATTTTAAATAAGTTACATAAGTTACTTTACAGGTCACTGCAGCCAGAGGTATTACTTAAATGAATTAGGTCTGCCCGATATCAATGACTGTCGATTTTGTGAAATTAACACTGACAGTAAAAACATATTCTTGTTCTCGACAGACGAATAACTTACCATTAAGATGACATTATTATGCCTTTATATGATCTCGTTGATCTGGAGAATACGTATTTTTCGAACCAACGGAAATGATACAATATACATATACATTTGTTAAGTCGAATATATCGCACTGGATGACACCAACTGTAATTACGCTGATGGTTAAGAACTTTGAGACTATCAGGCTGGAGATACCACCTACAAACATGCATCAAGCATAGTACCATAATGAATTGAGTACTATTGCTTTGTGGAATTATTTAAACTACACTACAAAAAAAATTAGATTTAAATTGAAATTGAATTGATTGAACCAAAGCAGTCATTACAAAATAAAAATCTTAACAAATATTAATTTTTTTTATATTTTTACTTTAGCAAAATTTTTCAAACCAATCAGAAAGTATAGAAACTGTAATTAATTGAATTTTTTTTTGCAATAATATTTTTTATTTACTTTAAATAGATATTATCTTAAACTTTGAAATATATATTCTGGATCTTCAAATTTAAAATGAGTAAAGTAAAGTCGCCTAAAAAGCAAATAACGAAAAACCCAAAAAAATCTGGAAATGGATTGGCAATCAATGATGGATCCTTAAATATGATTGTAAATGACAAAAGCATTGATGGTAAGCAGATGCAACATATGAATAATTATTATAATAATTATTATGCTATAAATCAGAAAAGGAGTTTTTTTGTGTTTCTTTGGCTGCTTCCATTAATTTCTATAAATTTAAATCAAGTCTTTAACTATCATCTTGATATTTAATTAGGTATAACATACAATAAGCCTCAATATCTTAATAAAAGTCAGTTTATTCATTCTTGGGTAATATCGTCGACTGTGTTAAGGAGGGGGACAGCCAAAAATTTAGACTGACTTTGGACAAGTCTAGACATACACACAATAAGTGTTTTGGTGTCTTTTTTTTTGAGCACCGATAGATATATACTATAGAAGATACTACAGTGTAAGCCGAGCTTACCCGAAACTATCCTATAGGCCAGTGCCCTATTGAAACAGATAGTAACCTAAATACTTCTGAATTTCTTCTGTGTTCAGAAGACAGAAATTTAATTAATAATATCCAACACAGAGAGACTGGTGATGTTTAGTAACAAAATGAAGACTTGATGACTTTCCCATTGATAAACTATATGTTTATCAAGACCAGGTGCATTATCAACAATACACAGCACTTAAAAATGTTGATCAATTTTCTTGTAAATATAAATTTCAAGCTTCCGATACAAAGCAATCATAGAACCAGATGGTGATAATGGTTCTGGCGATCGATGCTCTTCTATTACCATTTAAAGGGAGGGGAAAGATCCAAATAATTAATAACCCTTATCCCTTATGAACCATAGGTCAAGAAGATTTAATTTAAGTCAAGTTTAAGAAAACTTAATATCCTAACGACAGAAAGCAGTTGTTACTAAAAAAGCATACTTATTCTTTAGTTAATCCTAAAGCAAAGTGTTTGTGTTAACTTCATATACTAACAGCTTCTATATATAACTTTATAATATTTTCTCTAAAAAGAAGTCGCACAAAAAGTTCGGAGGAATAAAAATACCACAAAAGAAACGCTTAAAAAAATCGTAGCAAAAAGTCCGTAGCAAAAAACGTTTTTAATATTATTCTACAAAGCCTCATTACCATGATGCTTCGTGATGATTCTGTACTTAACTTTTAAATAAGTGTGTTTTTTATGTATTTAGAACAATGAAGAAGGACTTTTAAACTCTACCATTAGCAGTTCTTTAGATTTTTTCATCTCTTTCTACATTATTATTATTAACTTCTTTCAGAATCTAAAGAACTATTAGATCAATCTGCAAGACTATTAGATGATAACATAAAACTATTGAAGAAAGTGACTTTAACAGATAATCCAATTATTTTAAAAAATGAAAGTACATTGAGGAAATATGGACTGACTCGTAGAGATTCATCCAAATCTAACTTTTGCGATATCGACCGCGATTTTACAGATCCAGACAGCATATCAATTTCAAGTTCAGAGTTGCGTAATGCGGATAAAGAAATATCAGATTTATTCGATAAAGAACTTTCGTTGATGAATGTTGACTTAACACCAAAGCTAAAGGATGTTTCAAAGTTTAAATATTTTAAGAATCAAATTTTGCCTAAAGGAAAAACTGAAAAGCCACTTGAATACATAATTCCAACAAAACCTACACACTTAGTTAACGGATATTTAAAAAATAACATATTTACAACTGATGTAATTGATCCGAACAAAAAAATGGAACCTATCACTGTAATAAATCGATCAAAAGTCAATTCAAAATTGTTGGAGAATCCTAGGGAAAATAGATTTATAAAAGGTGGTCATGATAGTAATGATAAAAAAAATGACAACTATGAAAACCTTAAAAGTGAAAAAAAACTTCAAAACTTCCAGTCAGAAACAACTGAAATTATAAAAAATAGCAAGAAAACTAAAAGATCTGGAGCTGAAGTATATTTAAAAACTGCTTCTACAGGACTAGAAAGAGAACAAAGTAAACCCTTTCATACTAGCAACGATTTGCATACAAGAAAAGAAAAGGTGCTATCAAAACAGAAAGATGATTCGATTGAACAAAATAATATAAGCTCAAATCAAAACCAAAATACTGTTCTATCTGAACCTGACACCGGCAATTCCATTGAGAAAACACAAATGGAGGAAAACACAATTAAAAACAATGAAAACTCAAATAACTCTGCGAAAGTGGAAGAGGTTGTCCAGAAGCGAAAAATACAAAATGCACCGTTTCTAACATACAAAGAAATGCTAAAACAAAATAAAAGAGATGTGCTTAAGAAGAAATCTGGTATTAAAGATGTGAAGAAAAAGGTTTCCCAATCAATAAAAGATGATGCTGAGGAAGATATGGAGAAATTGTTAAAACAAAATGAAAATAATATATCATTGAAAATGACTGAAGAGGTAGATAAAGTCAGAAAGATAGATTTTCCATCAGTAGAGAATAATGTTGGAGATGAGATTCATGGATTGCTAAAACATAGTAAGAGAGGCACGATAGGAAAGAAATCGAAGGTGGTTAGTATTGAAAAGAAGAAAGATTCTCAAGCAATAGAAAATAATGCTGAGGATGATTCTGAGGGGCTGATAGAACAAAACGAAAATGATATGCTTAAGAAAAAACCAGATGCGGTTAATAAAATGAAACGAACTGATTCTCAACCAATGCAAAATAATGCTGATGTTGAGATTGAGTTTGAGGAATTGCTAAAAAAAAATAAAAAGGATATCATAAAGAAGAAATCCGATGTGGTTAATAACATGAAGAAAAAGGATGTGCAACAAATCAAAAATAATGCAGAGAATGATATGGAGATATTATTCCAACAAAATAAAAGTAATATGTTAAAGAAGAAAGCAGATGCGATTAATGCACAGAAGAAGGACTTTCAATCAACGAAAAATAATGTTGACGAGATTGCGAAATCTCCTATCTCCAGAAGAGTTGAAATAAGCACAGATGATAGTTTAAAAATTTCTAAGAAAAATTCATATTTCAAAAAGAAAGCAAAAGCATCGGAAGAAGAAAACTCTTTGCACACATACAAGAAATTGCAAATGAATTTAGCAAAAGATATTTTTAAAGAAAACAAACAAGCATATGATCCTCTTAATGACCGTGTTGAGAAACTCACAAATAACAGAAAACAAATAAACATAGATAACGATTCACAAATTTCTCCAACAATTGAAGATACGACCAAGACTTCAAATATTCGCGCACTTTTGGACAAGAAAAAAGGTCCTTTATACCATTTGTACAATAGAAGTAATTCCACATACAAAGGACTAGAGTTTAACAACAATTTTAATGAATATCCAATGATACTTAAATCTAAAAAAACGTATTTACCTCAAGACAGTAATGATAATCAAGCATTAGTTGGCGAAAACATCTCAAATGAAAAACATAAGAAAAATACTTTACTTAAAACAAAGTTAAATAATGACGATGAGAATAGAACAGATAAAAAAACCTATTTAAACGAAAATCAGAAAGCTTCAAATGCTAAAACGCTTCTACTTCCACAAGATAAAATCACAACGAAAGGTAGATTTACATTATAATATAAACACAACATATATAAGTATTCATATTATTTACAGAGAATTTTTCACAACAAATTTTAAGTCCCAGAATAACTGCAGGTCAAGAATATTTATCTCCTCAGCCTTTAACTTTAAAAGATAATTCTCCTATTCTTTCACGTAAGCAACATAAACCACATCACGATGAAGGGTCTTCACAAGCAGACACCCTCATTAACACTAATATATGTCCTACATCACCAAGACAGTGTTCCGTTGAAACAACACAGCCATATACAGCTCTAACAGGCTTTAAACTAACAACTGAAAGTGAAGAATTGGGAACTGGTAACTCTACAGTCAATACAGGCCGTTCAAAATTTTCTTTGAGAAATTCGAAAATAAAATCAAAATCAAAAATAAAATCAAACAAAAGTAAAACGTCTCCAACAATAAAAACCAAAGTTACAAAAACTCGAACTCACTTGAAACCAACACCAAAGACTTCTCAACTGTCAAAGACCACAACTGCAAATGGTTCTGATAGATTATGTGCTCCAAAAGATCAGACAGAAAAAATGCAAGAAATAAATTTGATATCTAATAGACTCAAGAAATTCCGGTATAATGAACAAAATGAGAGAGCAGACCAGTTATCAAGTAGAAGTTCCGAAACCGATTTCGATTCATCATCATCAGAAAAAGAAAAATTTACTGGTGCTGGTAAGAGTTATTCAAAAAAATATGTTATATCTTTCAATTTTATACAATCTTTTATTTGAAGATGGAGAAGAAACTGCCGATAACTTAGCAAGAAATAAATCTTACTCTACAGGTACTGATGAATCTGTGCAAGTATTAATGAAGAGAATTCGAAAAAAAAAACTGAAAACTAAAACTAAAAGTAATGAGTTGAAAAACCAGAATGATTCTACCGATTCTGATTCTCCATTGAAAAAGATTGCCGACGGCAAACAATATAAAACTCTAACAGCTCCATTAAAAAAAAAATTTCCACGCAATCCGGATCCTGTGACACAAATGCAACAAAATGGTAAAAAATAGTTTATTAAATTACCATAGAGAATCTGCGAAGTATAATATATATTCTTGAGTAAAGTTGAAAAGCTCAAGTAGATTATTTATATATATCTTTATATTAAAGGAAGTTTTAGTCAGCCAAGGGTTATGTTGTTAAGTATGTGCACATATATATAATATTATATAAACTATACAATATAGCCTTGCTTTGGTATTCGTTCTTAAGTCTCTCGATTATAAACTTATCGTCTATAGTTTTTTATTTTCATATTTTTAATTTTCTTTTATGCCATATCAATCCACAGAAACTTGTTCTCACATTATTTTTTCTGATGATTGTATTTTGCTTTTAAAAGTCAACACATTTCAGTCCATAATATACTGCGACCTTAAAAATAGATCTCTGGTTTTTTGGCAAACATCTATTCGAGCTTCTAACTGCACCTAATATGAGAAATGTTATTATTATCTCTAACCTTTTATGAATAGTATGCATAAACTTTGTAAAAAATAAAAACAAATTTGCAACAACAACGACGTCAGCTTCTGTAATACAAGTTGAAGAGTTATAAGAGTTTATTTTTAAGTACAAAATTGAATAAAGTGGATATTATAGGTACTATTGTTCCAATTGTGTTAGGATAGTTAAAAATTTGTAGGGTACTTTTTGCAAGTAATGAACTTATTTTAATGCGTTGTTTCTATATAATTCTTTCTAACTATATTTATTTAAAAACTTTCTTGCTTATTTTCGCTGCCAATCTTTAAATTTCAACCAATAATATTCCTAGGTTGAAAAGGCATATTGATATATATTGAATAGCAATTTCGAATATGCCAATATTCATCATTACAAAACTGTCATTTATACAAAAAATTTTTTACGAATGCTCATCACATTTTTTTAATAATTATATCGCACTATTTTATTAAATTAACTTTAGTTATAACTCATATAAATTATTAAATGAAGAAACAACAGCAAAAATTTGATTAATTTATTGAAATTTGGCTGACCGCTATTATGGGTATTGTCAAGAACTCTTCACCATTGATCTTAAAAAATATTCGATTTTTTATTTAATTAGTTTATAGTCCTTATATAGTTTGTTGGACTGCAAGTACGAAGCTTAGAACAAGATTTGTCCATAAGAAGCCAAAGTTGTATGGTCAGCCAAATTTCAATAAATTAATCAAATTTTTGTTGTCGTTTCTTCGTTACTGTTCAAACCCTTTTAGTTTCTTTTCGTCATAAGATGCGTCACATTTTACAAAAAATCAACGTTATAAATTATTAAATATTTTCTTCACTTATTTTCTAAAGAAAAGCGTTTAGAAGGAGGGCATGATTTCATCAGTACTGACTCCTCAGATTCACTACCACCAACTTCGAAAACCTATACCACACAGAAACTGGGTGCCACATTTACTCCAATTAAAGAAAACGTAAGAAGAAATAATAAATTTCAAAGTCAAACAAAAAAAACTGAACTGAAAACCACAAAAACTGGTACTATAAAAAAACCCAACAAGTCTTTACCAAAAACAAGTAAATAATATGTCTTATTTATTTATTTTATATTCACAACTTTTGTAATATTTTTAAATTTTACCAGCCAGTGTATTTCAAAAACTTTTATCGAAACCACCATCAAAGGAACAAACATTTTTTCTGGCCAAAGCACATTCAGGCAAGTTATCCTCCGCCGGTGTTACACCACGCAGTAGTAAATTTCAATCCTCACCCAGTCAAAGCTTTAAGGCACATAATAAGGGTTTGACTTCTAACAATGACCATGATAACATGAGCGCATTAAAATATGTCAGAGATTGTGAGGCGAAATTAGCTACAGCCCACTTAATACCCGGAAGAACACCTGAGTTGAAAAGCACCGCAGATGTTAATGCTATGCAATATTTTAGACAGTTACAAGACCAAAAAAAAGAAGGATTTATTAAGCTTGATGCTTCAAAAAATCAAAAGAAACCACAGAGCAAGATCAAATTCCCAACTATTGATAAAGGTAATTATAACAGATTTTAAATAAATTGGAAAACAAACTATACGATCCCGATTTTTCGAGGTACACCAATTTGACAACGGATTTTTGGTAATTTGAGTAAAGACAACTATTTTGAACTTCGAACTATATTTTGAATTATATGTCAATATAGCTTACCTTATGAAGTATCAATCTTTCAGGTTTGGAAACCACAAACAGCAAACGCACTGTTACCAGTCGTTTAATCAATGATCAATGATTAATGATCAACGTTCAATGATCAATGCTCAATGATTAACGTTCAATGATCAATGCTCAATGATCAACGTTCAATGATCAATGCTCAATGATCAATGCTCAATGATGAATGCTTAATGATCACTTACTCAGTGGCTAATTAATAAAAATAGCATATAATAGTTAACGCTAGATGGCGCGTATAGTTTTTTTTTTGTTAATATAATCAATATAAAAAGCTTATCATTTTAATCCTCAATTTCTTGAGAACTGAATTGTATCGCCATCAAAAAGTTGACTCTACTTAAATAAGTTATCAATTGGTAGCCTGAAAAATCAAAACAGCACCCTTATTTCTACTCTACAATTTTACTAAACTACTTTCAGATAAAAAATTATTTCATTCGAATGCAAGTTCTGCAACTAAAGCTGATAAATTACGAAACTTGTATAGTATGAATACACATCAGCTTAAGTCCTCTGCGGCAACATCAAATTTAACTAACGCTACTAAACCCATTGAAAATATGAACGGAATCCAAGAAACTGAAAACATTACAACTGCACCCACTTTCAGAAATAATCCATATAATTTAGATGACATCTTTCCGAGTGGTAACTATATAGTTTTTAAACAATATTAAGGACCAAATAAATATTAATATGTTATTTAATTTATTATACATGAATTTACATATCACAATTATATGTATTATAATATACTCTATTACATACTTTATTCAAAGAGCTAAGTATCTACTGTTTAGTTCCGAAAGCCTTTTAGCATAAACGATCTCTCATGTTCTTGACTCTGTTGATTTCTCTTATTGTATGATATGATATTCTATACATTATAAAAATTATATATATTTATATTTTTATTATAAAAAACTTTTAATTTATTAAGTAAAGAATAAATATTTTATTAAATTATTTTTATTATAACTACTGCTTTTATTTCATTTTTCACCGCAGTGGGCTCCACAGCTTATAGAACTAAAGCGATATCCATTGTTGGCGATAATTTTATGAATAAAATAATGCCAGATGTTAAAAATACTTACTCAGGTGCTATTATAAGTCAAATATAATTCTTATATTAAGAAAATATAATATTTCATAATTTTTATTACAGAAAAAATGAGGCAACATGATCCAGCTAAAATAACCGCTCCAACCCCTAGTCTTGCGGCTGTTCCTTCTAATACCGCCATTGGAAAAGCCCGTTCAAATCAATATAAAAATGTTATAAGTCCTATTGCTTCTTATATAAAAAGTACCACTAGTGCTAATTCTTCTAGTAAAGTACCTTTAAATAAGCCTCAAAGCAAGAGTGTTGACAAAATAATCGGAAAGAAAAAGGTAAGTGATCATTGTGCTGTGGTGTAGTTTCTCATTTTTTAACAAAGAATATTTTTTTGAGGTCTCAACCGGAACAATCAAAAGCAAGCCTACAACTTCTTCGAGTTCTCGTTTTCAAGCCAAAAAGTAAATACAAATGAATTAATTTGTTATAAGCAATGTTTTTACAAAAAATATTTTTTTATTTATATTTTAAAATGTGGTTCAAAATTTGTTTGTCATCTCATTTTTACATATTAAGAAGAACAAAAATTGTTGTGTTTTTTTTGGAGATCAATTATCTCTTATTTATTATAAAAAATATTTTAATTAAATTTTCCGAAATTGTATATTTGAAGGATTCGTAAAATTTTACATCTTATCACATACTATTACGCATATAACAACCATAATGAATGCAATAAGAAATATAGGGAGGCAACTATATCAGTGGTTGAAACAAACCATAACTTTATATTGCTATTATAATACATTACTCATAAATATATATTCCATATTTATATATATGGGTTACCAACGTATCTAGCAATTCGAAATGAATTTTGCAATTCAATAAACTATAGTCTGTCCTTGCTTAAAATGCACTAACGCCGAGTGCCTCAAGTAACCTGATTTAATCTATATAAAAGTAAGTGTCCAACAGACATATTATGATAAGTTTCAAGGTTAACTAATAGTAAGGAAGGAAAATTATATAACAATTTTGATACACGGAACATCACAACGTCGTAAACAGTATAAAATCGCATCGAATGATAAATTAGTTTATAATATATTATACATTTTAAAGTCAGACATAGTTGTACATTAGACTCTATCTGTTAATACCATACAATATGACGATATTCTTGGCATATGAAAAGTCAACTGCTAAAAAAATTTGGAATCAACCTACGTTAGGTGTAGATAGTAGGACATATCATAGTTTTTCAAATAAAATTATAAAGAAAATAGATAAAAACAGAAAAAAAAGTACCAACTGAGAATTTACTACGTATCTTTACTAAACGAGGACTGTTTGATAAGTGGACGATGACTATATTAAATCAATATTGCAATGTTTTTTTAAAATGTTCTTTTAAAACATTTGATAATAATTGAAAAGTGATGTCTAGATGCCGTCTCCTCTATGAAAGCCACTTTTGTTACAATAGACATTAGGTCTCGTGGATGTTTAAAAATAAAAGATGAAGATTTTAGCGCAGCTTTTAACGAAAATCAAAAGCAAAAACAAGGAAAGTTTGATTACTTATCTACTATCTATTTACAGAAATCCCATGTTTTTAAAACGGGGTGTCAACTGTACCCTACCCTACTTCGTTGAACATTCTGACCGCTTTGCATATCCATAAGTATATATATATACCATAAATATATATCTTACGTGAGGTAACAAGTGCGTATATTCTGGAGCTAGTATTAGAAGATTATCGAATGAATTTGCACCATTTTGCTGTTATAGTGAAAATTTCAAGAGAATGCGCACCTATTATATTGCAGAATTATTTACCAATAAAGAAGTATACAGTAAGGTAGCTGCCGAATATAATTACAGTGGATGAAAAGTATTCCATATAATCAGTTCTATACATTGTTTAAATTTATGTCAGCACAATATAAAACATATACCACTATACTCCAAAAATAGTAAGGCAACAGAAACCCAGAATTCTCATATTCAGCTTCCTACAAAAAAATAAAGTATATAGCTTGCTCTGGGGATGCATATTGTATTAATATAATTGCCATTTACGTGAAAAAAAATTAAAGTAATCCATAAACGAACAAACTGCAGAAATACTGAATTCTCCCATTGAATGTTCTAAAAAGAACAACAATTTTTCAGTCCTCTTAAGAATGCATATGGCATTGTTACAATTATTATATGCCAAATAATAACAGGACAATATATTGAAACTGCTTAAATGAGAATATAATAGAGAAAGGACCGCATTTCTGAATGAAATATCATTATCATAACATACCAGCTCATTCATCAGCAATTGCAACAGCAAAATTGCCCAAATTACGTTATATGATGACACCATGTCTACCATATTCACCAGATTTGACTTCATTTCATTCTTATTTAATTCCAAACAGCCCTCGTGCATGTAGTAACAGAGCTACATACCAAATAAAAACCAATTGTCATATAAATTCATAGCTAAAAAGCTAAGATTGCATTAAATTGGCACAATTCATAAAACACATAACAATTATCCCGACAGACATATTTTTACAATCACATATAATGTGTTTAATATCCTTATAAGGACACACAAATACACAAACTCAAAATCTACAAACAGATAAGGATTTTTCACCAACAACTTATGGCCAAAATTCAAGGCAAAAACGTACACATTAAATTCACATCCCCTACATACCTACTTACCTACATGGGAGTATACGAAAGCATAGCTGCTGACACGGTTATATTTAACCCACTCAAATCGTGGCTGTTAACCGCTGTTTTCAAAGACTTTTTGCCTCTCTTTATCCTGTTCAACCACTTCGTCTTCCTCCCCAACAATGACTTTTCATCACAAGTAACGAGTTTGCACCACTTTAACTCGATAGCCTGGAATTCCTTCATACTAAACATCGTTCTTATTATGGCAACGAACAACGCACAACGCACAATGAATGGAGTGCTTGGGTTGGTGTTTCATAAACCGAACGGCAGGGATGCCGACATATCGCACACCCAAAGTACTCTCATGAAAAATGACAGCAATTACGCTTAAAATATGCCTTGTTGAGCTTATTTTCTCACGCAGCTCAACAATGGCTCCAACGCAAACATCTGCACACAATGCAAACAAAAACCCAGAGTCAAAGTAAGGCAAAAGTAATTCAGAAAGATAGTTTCAAACTTGAATATGAATGAAAACTGGGGAAAAGCAAAAAGCAGTAAAGACAGTAAAAGCAATAAGAAAAACAATGAGTAAAAAAAGAACAATTGAGTTGTCATTTCATACATAAAACAAAGGTTACATATGCTTTTAGATATCATTTTATTGATGCTTTGTATTGTTTTAAAAAAAATATGAGAGCAGGTATGCTCTAAGCAATTAACAAAGAGAGTGAGAGAAAACAATTATAAAAGAAATTGAGTAAGTATGATAAATAACCGGTTTTATGCTATGTTCACACTTCACAATTAACGGAACAAAATTAGCGATAATTGTGCAATTAAAATTAAGTGTTTACACCACTCTTATTTCAACAGCAAAACGCGAAATTTAATGATACATTACCAAAATATAAAACTATATGATTAATGATACAAAATATCATGGGTTTATTTTCAAACCAACTCATTTAAAGAATGTTCTCTAAAGTTTATTATTTAGTTTTGCTTGAAATTTGCTTAAAAGTGAGTTTTCTGATGGACACGAGGTTGCACATATTAAATTTCCATACTTGTAATGAAACTCAATAAGATAGTAGTTATGTTTAAATGAATTATATGGAACATTTTTATGTGGAAAAGAGAATATTCTTAAATCAACATAAACGATTAATATACGATTAAAAAATTTATTATTTTAATAATTCATTCTGTATAAGGGATAAATTAAATATGTCCTGATTTTCCGATAGCAGTGAAGCAGATTAAGTTTAACTATGATAATAACATAAACAACAACAGTAAAAATTTTAAATAAATTTTGACACTTCACCTATAATTACTTTTAATAGTCTTAATTTAGATTCTTTGAACTCAAGCCTGCCATTCATTAGTGATATACCTGGAAAGGAAATTTGAAATTAAGTTCTGGGAATATTCCTGTCTCTTTCCAATTCCAGATTTCCACGTTAAACCAGATGTCGGCATATAAATACATAAACTTTTTTGTGCGCATGTTTTGTATATTACCCAAATACATTGTAAGAGATAAGTGAACATTTTATTACTGATATAATTTCAATATATGTCCTTACGCGGCAATATTGATGTAACCTATTAACAGGTAATGAATTTTATTGAGATATTTTTTTGCACATATTTTGTTTAATTTTCGACCTCCATATTTATTGCCATAAATTCTAGCGACATATGTAACAATCAGTCTTAATATAGATTAGTATAAGCAGAAAGATAATATAGATATGACGCAAAGTATAGAACTGAAAGATAATATACAACTCATACCTAAAATCTTACGTTTCTTAGTAGAGCAAAATCTGGTAATAATTACCATTCCATTCTATTAACTAAGGATAAATAAATTAGTAATTAATTAATGTATACACGGCAGACATCCCCACCTTAAGTCCCACGTCAATGGCGCTTTACGCAGACGACACATGCTTGATCTACTCGGATCGGGATGCCATAAATGTAAGCAACACTGTAACGGAAATATAGACCTTATGGTGGAATACTTCCAAAAATGGAAGATTAAAATTAATAATGACAAAACCAAGGCTATATTTATAACTCGAAAAAGAAGACAGCATCCTCCAAGAGTGAGCGTTTGCGACACAGAGATACGGTGGGAGGATAACATAAAATATCTGGGGGTCACTTTTGACAAACGGTTCAATTGGCTTAAACATTTGAAATACAAACGGAATAGCTGCTCTAAGATTCTACATTTATTAAAGCCGCTATTTAATAATTATCACTTCAACTTTAAAAACAGAAAGTTACTTTATACGCAAGTAATTAGACCTGCACTTTTGTACGGATGTGTTACATATAGCAAAGCCTCAAATACCACCTTAAAGCAATTACAGATAGCTCAAAACCTGGCCTTAAGAAAACTGTTTAAGATTCCACATAGAGATCTTAGGATTGACTCAGTGAAAAAATATATCAGAGACAGAGCTTTAAAATTATTCACTAAAGTTGATACGTTACTTAACCCCGCCCTAACAATCCTCAAGTCCACTTCTGGATTCTCAGGAAGATATGCTGATTTGAGGTCCGTCATCAACTAAAAGACAAATAAATGATATGATTTTTTAGCCTAGTTAAAGCCTAGTGTGGGGTAGTGATAAACCCCCCAGCCATTATAGAGTAAAAGTGCGTAATAGCACTAACTCAAAAAGAAGAAGAAGAAGAAGTAATTAAGATAAATAAATTAATAATTAAGTAAAACTTTAAAAATTTTGGAAGTTTGGCTAGTAGCAATAATATTAAACGTCAAAAAACGAATCAGTTGAATTTAAA